AAACAGATGGTCCAGCCTACATCATTATCCAAAATAACAATCCTATTGTAAAAACAGGAATAAGTAGTACCATCTATAAAATATCAAAGTAATTACACGTATGAATAAGCTTGATTTTACTTAAAATACTTAACCACATTTATTTTTGTATTGGTCTACTTAAACAATCATTGTCTCAAATTATTTTGCACTTACAATCGTCGATTATTTTCATCAAAATATGCTAAATTGTGCTCAATGATATATACAGAATAAAACAAAATCTAAGTTAAATCTGCATTGTGTATGTGTATACAACGGCATATTGATTAACTCTTTAAAGCTAAACATGATAATATGATGTTAGCTGGTGTGACGTCCTAACCAATATTAGCTGACGGTTTTGAGCCTTGTCCTACGCATACAGTTTCACAAGTAAGGGGGGGGGTGATTATGTAGTATTAATATTATTAGTGATTAGGAGATTAGCATAATGGTACTTGTTCTCCCTAAGTGATAGTAATACCTCTTTCTACTGATAGCATGTTTTTCTTTTTTTTACCATCAAATGCTTAATATAATAAAACGCGATAAAACTTGAATTTATTATTTACTGTGTATGATTAAATACCATGTAAAAATTTACAAAGGACTGCCTCCAAGTAGTATAGTGAAAATACAAGTAGTATTGAAGTTCTATTACACCAAATTGAGGTACATAAATAAGACTTGAACTGATTGAACGGTGGTAAATTTCCATTCGTTGTAGTTTAAAACTTTCGCCGTTTCGGCTAAGATGAATCATTTCAGTTATGGTTTGCAGCGCTTTTCATTATTGGACCAATTTAATAAACTTTACTACTCAACATTATTAACCTCCTTCTGACTCCTTGTGTAGCGTCCCCACTGTAATACAATTTTGATATGTAGCTTAGAAATCCAAAATTTAGTTACAATTCATATGTGTTAAGTTTCGTTATATTATTTGCATAAGTATAAAACAATACATAACGGGATTATTGGTGAACCAACAACAAAGAGTAGCAAAAAAAAATAAATTATAATGATGTTGAAAATGACTATACAATCAAAGATAAACAATAAAATCTTTTGTTGTACGTACATTAAATTGAATGTTTAAACAGTTCTGTCAACAAGGTCACTAAGTTCACAATTTGGACTGTATTTAAAAGTCTCATACATATCGTCCTTCCTATTAAAATTACAACAGTTTTTTGGAAATACGGTGTAATTAACCTGTGTTTTTTATTCAGTGTCATAAAATGTACTTAAAGACGAATATTACTAACTATTACTAACGATTTAGTTATTTGTTCAGTATTTGCAATTAGTCATAATTATAGTTACATTACATTTTACATTAAATATCAATTTTGCATTACATCTGTTTAATACATACAAGCTTTTTGCATAAGATTAGCTTTAATGTGACAGGCTTGTGTATAAATGTAACAAAACGTGATACGTTTAGTCTTGTATAACTGTCATTACTTTCTTTTATTGCCTAAACTGCAATATTAGTTTTTTAGTTGAAAATAATGATTCAATTACAGTGATAAAGGTATGTCGCTTCAACACACAGTGGTATTTATGGTCAATTGCAGCATTCTTTACAAACATGTGTGAATATGTAACAATCTCGTCGCATTGTATTACTTTTCCACAAATGTGACTGTCTTAAGCATACAGTATATCTAATGAATGAACTATACAGCTAATGACAACTAAACAGTTTATGGTAGAATCAAAACCACTTTTTTGCCTCAGTATTAACAATTGGTCTAATTATCATAGATGGTCACTATATGTCATAGCGATTTAGTACAATCAATACCTCTCTATAGCTTTATAAATCATAAAAAATCTACATTCCTAACTGTAAATAATTTCTTTTTCACGTAATAGTTTAGGAAAAAAACTGTTTCGACAGACGACCAGTTATAGCTTTATATTTGAACAAAGCCATATTTGACCAAAAACTGGTACTAAACTGTTCTTTAAAAATTATCACAAACAATTAAAGATAACCTTTGTCATTTACTGTGACATAAAAAGTAAGTTAGTCAAAGAGGATATCTGTGAACCAAATCCGAAAACATCATTCACTCATCGTATAGGGATATACTCAATAGAAAGTCTCACATTCAATATCATAGATGAATCAAGTAAAATAATACATACACTTACCTTTCCAGACATATCGTCATTCATGATTTCATTAAAAAGTGAATGCGAATCAATAGGAAGGATATATTTAAAAAATACCCCTCCCAACTGTTATCCACGCAAACCACAAATCAATGACACCTGTCACATCTGTGGTCACATTCTTGACAACGACTACGTCCTCGACCACAAAATCACATAAATGTAAAATTTATTATTATTTATTATTTTATTGAGGTGAGCTCCACTGTGAGGCACAACCGCACAGTGGAGCTCACCTCACAAGACTGAATGTGGCACCGCGACATGTCTCCATATCATGAGATCAAATCAAATCGATCAAATAAAAATTCCTTTATTCTTGAGCGGTTCTCAATACAATATTGGTTTACAGAATAACTCACGTCACTAAAACTAAACATTTAAAAGTCAAATATCTAAACAAATTATGTACAAGAATAAAAAATCAACAAAAAATTACATGCCTGCTTTACAATGTATTTTAACCCTTATTTTGAAAGCTAAGGCCGAAAGGCTTTTGATCTGATAGGGGAGGAGATCGTGAGATCGTGAGAAAAGAAAAGGGTCCAGTGCAAGAAACCAATACCTGTAGGATTTTCAATACTAGATCTAAGTAAGAGATACATAAACCACATGTATTACAACTTGAAAAAAAGTACTTCCCACCTTTCAATTTATTATACACAGACAACGATTCATTTGCAATACAAGTACTCACTAGTGATACTACTTCATTTACAAAAGATCAACATTTCATTTCTAATCGTCTCTTCTTGTTAGGTTGATTCAAAGATACATCTCCTAACAATCACATTCTAGAACTTGTTACAGCAAGAAGTAAAATATACGGGTATAGAACATTAAAAGATATAATACAACTGAAGAATTTACCAAAATCTTTTAATTTTACAAACTGTAAAAACATACTAAAATCTATTAAAATGTTAACACACCTATAACAGTGTAATTGATAATAAATTATATCAAGTAATACAGAGTAAATCACTAATAAAACTCACACACACACACACCGACACACACACACACACACCCCAACATACACGAACCAATACCCTTAACAGGAACCTATGGCCTTAACATGAACAATCACATAAACGACCCCAACACCCAATACACCACTAAATAACATCATCATGATCAATCACTCGCTCTCTCTCTATCTCTCCTCTCTCTCCTATCCCTTACATTTTCTCTCTATCTCTTTCTCCCCCCCCTCCCCCGTCTCTCTTCTCTCTCTGTCTCTCTCTCTCTCTCTCTCCCTCTCTCTCTCTCTCTCTCTCTCTCTCTCTCTCTCTCTCTCTCTCTCTCTCCATCTCTCCCACCTTTACCACATTTTCTCTCTCTCTCTCTTTCAAACCCCCCCCCTCAACTATCGCTCTCACTCACACGTAACAACAACCCTTCCCCTCAAATCACTAATACCAGTGTGATACTGGTAATTTAAATGAAATTGAAATTTTTCAGATACGTGTGGTATCTTAAAAATTTCAATTTCATTTCAATTTTCCATAAAAATCCTCTCCTACCATAACTACTAACACCTGGTGAAAACCCGTGTAACCCATATGAAATGAATTTGGCAACATGTGGCTGTACGAAAATTATGATTTGAGTTAGTCCATTTTGACAGGTAAACCTAAACATGTACACATATATGTGAAAAATCACAAATTACTTAGTGATTAAATTAACTATAACTTCATTAGAATAATGCAATGAAATTACCAAACAAATAATTCGTATTTACCTTTGTTTATTATTATTCTTTATTTAATTAAAGGATTATTGTATTATTATAAACCATACATACAGCCTTTATTTGGTGGAAAATTTGTCTCACTCTGTTTATAATCTACAATATTATACAATTAAAGTGGTTTCTGTCTGTCTATCTATCTGTCTGTATGTCTGGACAGCTGTCACGACTAAAATACTAAACCATTAAAGCCAAAATGAGGCAACAAGATGGTCCTAGTATCTAAGAATGTCATAGGCCTAATCACTTCCCTAAGTTCATTTCGGGCTCCGCCCCTGGGATATCCAAAGTTTTGAAGTGAGATTTTTAAAAGTAAATATTAATTGGTCTCAATGGAATCACGAGAAAACTCAAAATGTTTACCTTTGTGTTGAAATTTCTATTTAAACCAGCAGAACTGCCAAATTTATTTCAGACAGCTGATACAAAGCAATTAAATACAATATTTTACACAACCATGTCGCTGGTTAATTTAAAACAGTGTCATTGATTATGGGGAAAAAGATTGTATAACTGTTGGTTTATCAACATAGGCTCTTCTTTTGATTTATTAGAGAGTTAAAGTTATGAAATTAACGTGTTTCATATATTTTTATGCAAAAAGTAGGACAGTTACAATGTAGGTTATACTTTTTTTATAAATGTTGTGGCTTTGTGTTTATAAATTCAAACTACTCAACAAGTGTTTGGATTTAGAGGTCTAGTACAACTTCCCGTTGCACGGGTACAGTGGCAAATTAAAATAATAGTCATATGACTTAGGTAACACCACTAAACAACTAATTAGATTTTTGGTTTACTATTTTATTTATTTTGAAAGGCTAAAAGTGTAACGAAAAAGTTGTGGCATCTAGTGATAAATGATAAAAATTTAAATACAATTAGGGCTGTAATTAAGTAAAATATCTACAAAATGTATAGAAAAATTACAAATTGTATTACTAAAAAACATTTAAACATGTACGAATCATTTCATACGTTATGTTTTTTTTTTCATAACTAACGATATTTAGAAAATCGTTCACCAATGTGATGTAATGAATACAACAACTACAATAGTACAACAATACTTTTATTTGTCTTGTAGATTAGTATTACCAGCCTCTAAGTTGTAAAGGCAACGCTCTGCTGAATCCCTCCACACCATTGTAAGGAGTGCTGAGCCAAGTGTGTTTGATGAGGTCCGAACCTTTCTCTGCTATCATGATGGTTGGGGCGTTGGTGTTGCCTCGTGTAATCTTCGGCATCACAGAGGCGTCGATGACTCTCAATCTACTCACACCTTGTACCCGGAGTTGAGGGTCTACCACGGCCTCGGGGTGTCCCGGGGGTCCCATGCGGCACGTGCCTACAAAATGATAACCGACGCTCGACAGGTGTCTAAGAAAACATTCCCTGTATGGACGAGAATCATAAGGGAATTTTGAACAACTTCGAACAAATACTTCATGATATCTGGCATTTACTGCTTTGAACGGTTCTGTGAACACCAAACCACGAAGGAAATCAATGGCTTTGCCTACAGTATCAACATCCCTTGGGTCCGAGTAATGGCCAAGAGTTATCCTTGGGAATTGCAATGGGTTTTTACTTTGAAGTCGGACAGAACCTCTACTTTCTGACCCGACGAGATTCGGTGTAACAAACAGAACGGGTGAGTGCTCGTTGATAGATCTAAAACTCTCAACGATTTCTTCATTATACCCGTTACCCCTAGCAAACTGTAAAATACCAGTTGAATTCTTATTATAGTGATAAAAATAAACTTGAACATCTGGGTAGTCCAAACCTTTCCTCTCACTCTCCATAAACAAAACGAATGAACTGATCCCTTTTCCAGCTAAAGTGCTGTTGAATTTCAATAAGAAGTTAAACATGCTTTGTCTTTGGTCGACTTCTGGTAAAGATACGTCAAGTGATATCATTACGCCATATGCCATTGGATGATCTTCCAATCGTTTGCCAACAGGTAGATCGTGTATAACATTTATTCCATGCTCCCATAAATGTTCACTCGGACCTATCCCTGAAAGCATTAACAGCTGTGGACTGCTGATGGCTCCACTAGACAATATCACTTCCTTCTTAGCTATAACTCTAACTAAGTAGCCATTTCTGTCAATCAGCTCAACGCCATATGCCACCTTAGTGTTTTCGTCTATTAATATTTTTGTTGCTTGCGCAAACTTAGTTACTCTCAAGTTTTGTCTGTCTTTTATTGGAGTTAAAAAGGCCTTTGCTGTGCTACAACGTCTATCATCTTCCATAGTGGCTGATAGTCTACAGAACCCTGACTGATATCTACCGTTATGATCAGGGTTTATGAAGTATCCAAGTTCAGATAAACCTCCCGCCAATATGGAACGTATTGGTTCTATATTGTCAATGTTATAGTCATCAACCTTTAAAGGGCCACCGACTGAATGGTAGTTGAAGAAATCAGGGGTGCACTTAACTCCTGAAGCTCTCATATCCTCAGACTTTTTAAAATAGGGCAAAACGTCTTTATAACTCCAACCAACATTTCCTTGAGCCTCCCAACCATCATAGTCCTTATAGTTTCCCCTTACGTACATTAGTTCGTTATGTGAACTGGATCCACCCAACATTTTACCCATCCCACAGTTGCATTGGCTACCAGTAAATCCTAAACAGATCGGTTCTTCAGAGTTAGATCGATAATTCCATTGATATTCCGTATTGTATAATGTATCGAATAAATTGGGCACTTCAGATGTTTTGGGAGGATCCCCTCCAGCTTCAATCAGGAGGACCGTCCACCCGGCGATCTCTGTCAGTCTATTGGCTACCACGGAGCCGGCAGATCCTGCACCTACGACGATGAAGTCGAACTCCTCCCAGTCCCTAGGATTGTACTGAGGAGGGTAGTTGCAGGGGTTGGCCAGCTCGCAGTCTGCCTCAGCCAGGGATAAGAACACCTCGTCTATTAGCAGAGCCGCAGCGTCTGAGTAGCGGGAGGAACACGTGCCTTCCAGGAACAGCGGGTTGTACGTGCACACGTTGGACCTGGGACAAACCAGATGTAATGTTTACCTTTATGTAAACTAAATTTCTGTAGGTATTGGGTCATCATAAAGAATAAAGGCTAAGAAGGAGTTTTTAAGATACTTAAATTCTTTTTGTATCATATTATTTAAATTAAAACTAAAACAAATAAATTTTAATGCCTTTTTTTCAAGCGTTTCTCAGTACAACTGCTTCTCAGAAAAACTTTCGTCAATACCAATAATTAAACTAACAAACAAATAAATATAACAATAACAAGACAATATAAATAAATATCAATAATTATCTATCGGCGTACGATTCATTGATCTTAATTCTTAAAGATACCAAGACATGTTTTTTGATACCAGAGGGGAAGTCGTTGTATAGCTTTGGTTGTACGGGAAGTTTCTCCTTCCAAACTCAATCCTTACTCTTGGCAAGTGAGCTGGAGATTTCCGTTTACAAACATCTAAGTAAGGCTCATTAGCCAAGGTTAATACGTATGATTGTTTGGTTGACGAATTTACGGAGGGATTTACTATGCAAATCACATATCATTTCCTTGCATATTTTAAACCTTACCTTTGAAAGATATAGAGTTGTTTGTATCGTTCCGGCAATTTGTTTTATCACTTTTCTACTATATAAATATAATACGTATGATTGTTTGGTTGACGAATTTACGTAGGAATTTATTATGCAAATCACATATCATTTCCTTGCATATTTTAAACCTTAACTTTGAAAGATATAGAGTTGTTTGTTTTGTTCCGGCAATTTGTTTTATCACTTTTCTACTATATAAATATAATACGTATGATTGTTTGGTTGACAAATTTACGTAGGGATTTGTCCTATTCAAATCACATATCATTTCCTTGCCTATTTTAAACCTTACCTCTGAAAGATATAGAGTTGTTTGTTTTGTTCCGGCAATTTGTTTGATCACTTTTCTACTATATAAATATAATTTAATTTTAAAGTATCCACATACTATACCCGACTAACAGAACTGACTGTGACTGAAAACATAACCTCTCCTAGAAGTTATGAGAAGTGGTTTTTAGTAAGTAAATCACTGTTGTAGGTAAAGTAGTGTAGGCAACTCGCGTAAATAGTGTTACCGACACTGAAATTTTCTACTCGTGCTGCTGGCACTATCATTACGCAATCGTTGTGTAAACTACTATTTTATTATCAACGGGGTAACCACTGGTACGTGTACCACCGATAAGTACGTTATAATACAATTGGATGACACAAAACAAATTTAAAAAAAAACTAGGTTAAGCCCGTCGAAACCGACGGTTGCTTTAAAGGCTTGTGATAATTCTTCTAACTGCGACAAAAAGAGTAAAATAAAAAATGAGAGCATTTAGCATTGTTTAATGAGTATAAATAGGTGTTGAAACAATAATAAATATTGCGTTAGTTAGTCATATTTCTTATACCGTCCGTCATAGGAGTTATTGTTCCTATGTTAACTGGTTTATCTTCTTTTTGATGAAGATAATACGAAGAATGCTTTTGGAAGAATCTTTAAATAGTATTGAAATCGTATTGGTGGATCTTATGTGGTACACACTTCTGTCATGCGGCTTCATTGGCAACAAATCATGCAAATGACAAAGCAATGCTGCATTTCCAAAAAGCAAATACTGTGAATTGTTACCTACGTAAAAAGTTACGTTTACATAATCAAGCTATCTTAGAAAGAATGAGGATATCTAGTTCAACAGGAAAGCGAACTTCCTGTCATGACAGTAACTGCTTAAATGGTAATTACTCTTCGTGAAATTTGTTTTACAGTCGATGTGTAGTGTTATTTTCACAAATCTCACTTAAGGCCAACCAAGTGGGCCCCGGTCCGTAATAGGCCACTGTAAAACATCTGTCAAGATATAGGTACTATTTTAGGCAAAGTTTCTCTGTTTGGATGTTATTAGACACGATAAGAGCACAATGAACTTCTTCTGCAGACTAATAATGCGTTGGTTAAGAGAAATATAAACCGAATTAATAAATTTCACAATCCAAGCGCATTAAAATGGCTCTGTCCTGATCTTTTTTGTAGTATCGAGTTTGGGCTTTTTGTTTATGTAAGTCTAGGTAAGGTGTAGGTTCTGTAATCTAGGTAAGTTACCGGTGCTCTTTGAGAAATTTCTTTTAGAGATAAATTAAATGGTTTTTTGTTGCTTTTTCGTGCTAAATCGTGCACATGTTTCTTTATACAAATTATTGAAATATTAATCCAGTTGCTGTAAACCACGATTAGTTTAACGAAATATGGACACTCCGTTCATTTGGGCAACGTGCCATTCTGTACTTGTATTATTTTTTATTGTATTACACGATCGAAATCTTTTCCAATAATTGAAAACCTGTATGAAAATAATCTCATGACTCTATGATGTCATATGACCTCTTGAATAATATGACAAAATATCGGCATAAGTGGTCAAAAAGTCAGACGCCAACCCGTACAATAGATGTAAGATAATTCGATAAGAAATAATTTTATCAAGATTTTCCCATGATTTCGGAATTGAAAAAATATATATTTGAAGTGTTATAAGACGTATCTTTAATTAATTTCTGTGAATTTAATAACACGTACAATGCTTATCAAGAAGTTTTTTATTAACTTATTGACTTTCTTTTTTCCAAAATGCTTATAAAAACTAATTGAATTTGTATGGTTTATTTCCCAAAACTAGTCCAGTCAATGAATGATCCAAAAGTAGGTGTAGAGTGCGTGAGCAGGTAACTAAGCGATTCCTTCAGAAACTTGTTCAGGGGGCTTAGGGTGTTAACATACCAAAAGTCCTGACTCCTAGGTGGTGAGCCAGGGGGTGGAGGGGGGAAAAAGAGGGGGAAAAGGTACGCATTTTGGGTTTTTTGATTATATCTCGAAAACTATCAACTTTTTGTATACTATAGTAAATTATAAAATTGAAGAAGATTAAATTTTCTACAAGAAAAGTATATAATGTGTTTATTTTGGTTCAATAGATTACGAGTTATAACTTATTTAATTGATATCTTATTAAAATACTCCTTCCATAAGAAATACATGTAAATTAGTATGCGAAATGGGGCGAATCCTATTTCCAAAGGAAATATAACTGATATCCTGGAAATATTGACAAAATTTCCAGTAATTTGACACTTTAATCATGAAATTTTGTCAAAAATTAAAGCGAGGGTGAGCATTTAAAAATGGGATGATTTAAGGTTTTTTTTTATATTTCCAATAAAAAAACACCAAAACTCGAATTATTGTTACCTCGCCCTCGCCTTAATTTTGGATCAATTTTAATGATTAAAGTGTCAAATTACTGGAAATGTTGTCAAGATTTCCAGAACATCATTTATATTTCCTTTCGGCGGATAGGATTCGCCCCATTTCACATACTAATTTACATGTATTTCTTATGGAAGAAGATTTTAATAAGATATCAACTAAATAAGTTATAACTCGTAATCTGTTGAACCAAAATAAACACATTATATACTTTTCTTGTAGAAAATTTAGTCTTCTTCAATTTTATAATTTACTATAGTATACATAAAATTGATAGTTTTCGAGATATAATCAAAAAACCCAAAATCACCACCTAGGAGTCAGGACTTTTGGTATGTTAACACCCTAAGCCCCCTGAACAAGTTTCTGAAGGAATCGCTTAGTTACCTGCTCACGCACTCTACACCTCATTCCTTGACTGGACTAAAACATAATGATTGGGAAACGAAAGTAGCCAGTTAAAATTTTAAAGTTTTAACTTTAAGTGTGATACTAAAATTTATCTACATACAGCAGATCTATAGAATAATAATTATTCTCTTAAGCGTTCTCTTCCCGTTGCGAAGCACGGGTATGGTGGCTATTACAAATAAACTGTTATTGACATTACTACTTACGAGCAAAATTTATTTATTAACAACCTTTTATAGTATAGATCGTTTCTTTAATATTTCAAAAGACTACCTTTTGATAAGGCACGGCAATATTTCGAGGTGTATAACGAAGTTACAGGTTTAATTTTGTTTCTAAAAAGGGTTGGCGGATGTTTAACTATTTTATACGACATATGTAAAAATGTTATAAATATCAAAATGTTTCTATTCGTGTCCTCTTCCCGTTGCAAAGCACGGGTACAACAGCTAGTTTGATATATATTGTATCTGTGCAATCTTTTTGTTGGCAAAGTAAATGTCCCAACTCAATTATGAGTTTTTTTCTGCATGTTCATTTGTTTCTCCTGGTAATTCATTAGCGTCCTTATTTCTCAGGGCTTCACGAAAACAAGAGCAGTACTGTTATTCAAATTCCAACTTGTTATCGCGGCAATAGTGAGTATCATTATTTAATTAAAACGATTATAGAAGTTGCTTTAAATTGCTATTATAACGCCAACCTGTTCATCGTGTGCAATAGGGAGTATCATTATTTAATTAAAACTATTATAGAAGTTGCTTTAAATTTAACATAATGGCTAGGCTCTAGGAGGCTATTGTATTAGTTTAGTATTTGGATATAAAAAAGAGAGAATAAATAGATATCAACATATCCCCGTGATATAACATATATTATATCAATAATATCTTGTTGTAATAACTTTCATTGTTTATAAATACCATATTTCAGAGTAATACCATCAGATGCACAGTTCAGGCGAAATCCAATGTTTTATAAGATGCTAGACCATAAATTACAACGTCATGTCAGCCGATAAGTTAGTATAAACAAACTGGTTACACTACTGGATCAAGTAGCCAGTCATATTTCTCTACATCTTATGTATTGTTATATTGTGGTTTTTGTAGGAAATAAACTTCATTTTTCATTATTCATATATGTTTGAGAGATTTATGGTTTATCTTTAAACCGTCCGATTTGATGATTGTGACTGTTAAGTGTATAATAGTTTTGCCTGTATATCTAAAAAAAATTAAAAAATATATGCAAACATACTGCTGTTCTGAATATAATAAGGGTTTAAACTAGGTAACAATAA